GGTTGGTTATGCCTCATATTTCTTGCTTTTCTCTATGTTCTTTTGGGAGCTCTGGGATAATTATTATCGCGAAAATAGTTTTTTCCTTTTCAGACACCTTCGTAACTCGAAATATTTTTTCTTGCATAAATACCCGTAAACGCCAATCGTTCCAGGACCTCAAGTGTCCCCACTAAGTCGCACCCGATCAGACACCCATGGTCTGTTGTCTAGCACAAGTCCCTCCTGATTGGCCACACTCAGTAATGACGCGAGAGAGAGAGAGAGAGAGAGAGAGAGAGAGAGAGAGAGAGAGAGGGGGGGGGGAGAGAGAGAGAGGGGGAGGGGGAGGGGCGGGCACTAACCAAAGATTGCAGTGTATGGGTGGGTGGATTGTGTCAAGTTGCGGTGTTCGCAACAAACAATGTTGCAGTGGTAAAGATTATGTACGTATAAGTTACGACAGCACGTGTCTACACGGGACTATTTTCAAGACGAAGAAGATTATGATTATGATGATGGTGAACAGCCCCCTCCTCCCCTCAAATAACACCTCTCCGTCTCGCTGCCTTAAAAACGACATTCACCGAAACAACTTTAATATTGCTTATTACAGTCTAAATACTGTATGAACTCAACTTGAAAATGTAAACTGGTCCTTGTCATAAGAAGATGATGAAGAAAAAGAACAACAACAACAACGATGATGATAAGAAAACTAGAGAACGGTTGTGTTACTTTGCCCACGTGCTGGTTTTCTTGCACGTCTCAACTGGGAGGCTCAGTATAATATTGTTATTGACTTTTTATTTGTCAAAGACCTGTGTATTAAAACTGTTCGTTGAACGAACTCAACAGTTATGTTAACTTTACTAAATCTGTAAACACTAATGAAATTTTGGCTAGGAGCTTGAATAAAGATGGATTGTTCATTATTTGCCTTTGCGGGCTTCACGGGAAAAAGAAAAAGATAAAGAGGACGAATAGAGGCCGCCATTACAAGGCATGGTTTGGGGTTCTCTTTCCCGTACTCGAATTGAACTCATTTCCTTTACTAACAAATCGAAGAGTGTAAATATTACATCATTTTCAACGACACGTGTAAAATGCCGGTCCATTCAGAGGACAACAAGACACACTTTACAAAAGAACAAAATAAAAAAACAAGAAAACAACAATAAACGTTCACTTACCGTTCGCAACTAATCTTCCGGTGGCTTGTTATACCCACGAGTTATTCACCAGGCAAAGAAATATGATTAGACACAACTGTGAAATCATCAAACTGCAGAAGTCAACACTACTTTTGTCACAAAATACAATTTAAAGACAAGTTAGAGAAAGTCTGGGACTCGATGTGCACATCCACAAAATCTGAAGACAATATCGATGTCAACACCTGTGTACGCCGCTAACGAAATGAACTAAATTTTAGTTTTTTCACCAAGAACAAAGAGGTCCAAATAGGCGGGAAAACATGACTGAGGGTCTCGTCTTAGTGGGGTTGTTATGTAAGTGTTGATACTTTCTGTTACATTGTCTAAGTTTCTATCAGAGGAATGCTGGTAGGATATTACTCTACAATACCTTTCGAAAATATGATCACCTTGCTTCCCACGGTTTACAAAAAAATATTTTATTAGTTTTTGTTTTATTGTAATCAGTAAAAAGGTTTTACCCCCTGAAACTACAATTCTCAATTTCACTCCCAGCAGTAGTCAAGCGCTGTGATTGGCTGAGCGTCTTGACCTTTGTCCTTTCCGGCCTTCCAGTTAGCGTCTCCTTCTGTAATGCCGTAATACCCCAGGGGCATGAACCACGTGGGTAAGACTGATGCTTGTCCAGGCGGTGAACGAGTTATTGTCCTAAGGTTTTACTTTGAAACAATTTTTGGGGGGTCCTACTTGCTTCGGCCAAGATTGTGTCTATTTTTGTCAATATTTGCCATATTTGTACCACATTGTATTATATGACTTACACGCGAATACAATAAATCATGTTTTTGAAAAAGATTTTTTTAGGCCTTAAAATTCAGTTGCATGCATTTTTGCTACGTTGATCCCGGATAAGATATACTTAACTAGAACGTCAGAAAGCATCAGCACTATGTAGACGATTTCCAAGAAGGAGAATTTCGACCCTGCCTGTCAGGCCCAAACAGTCTTTACTAAGTGATTGATTCCAACAAGTCGGGGAAACTCATAAATTTTTACTGTACGAGTATTGGCGTGCAAAAGAAACACAGAAACCTTTTATTTATCACCCAGCATTTTAGAGCAATAATTGTTACCAAGTAATCTGGAGCAAAACGATATAAAGAAGAAGAAGAAGAAGAAGAAGAAGAAGAAGAAGAAGAAGAAGAAGAAGAAGAAGAAGAAGAAGAAGAAGAAGAAGAAGAAGAAGAAGAAGAACAACAACAACAACAACAACAACAACAACAACAACAACAACAACAACAACAACAACAATAACACCAACCACAACAACAACAGCAATAACAACAACAACAACAGTAACAACAAAAAACAACAAAACAGTAGCAACAACAATGATGGGGATGAACCATATGTTGATTTTCTTGTATATTTCTTTTGGGAGCTTCAGTAAACTATAATCGCGTTATGGGTTTTTGTCTGTAAAACACTTACGTACCCCGAAATATTTTTTGCTGCATAATACATGTAAAAGCGAATCGTTGCAAGAACTCAAGCGTCTACCCTAAGTCCCGCCCAATCGACACCATGGTCTGCTGTCTAGCACAAGTCCCTCCTGATTGGCCACACCCAGTAATGACGCGGAGAGAGAGAGAGAGAGAGGGGGGGGGGGGCACTAACCAAAGATTACAGTGTATGGGTGGGTGGATTGTGTCAAGTTGCGGTGTTGTTCACAACAAACAATGTTGCAGTGGTAAAGATTATGTAAATATAAGTTACGACAGCACGTGTCTACACGGGACTATTTTCAAGACGAAGAAAATGATGATTATGATGATGGTGAACAGCCCCATCCTCCCCTCACATAACACCTCTCCGTCTCGCTGCCTTAAAAACTACATTCACAGAAACAACTTTAATATTGCTAATTACAGTCTTTTATGTTAACTTTACTAAATCTGTAAACGCTAATTAAATTTTGGCTAGGAGCTTGAATAAAGATAGATTGTTCGTTATTTGCCGGTGCGGGCTTCACGGGAAAAAGAAAAAGATAAAGAGGACGAAAAGAGGCCGCCATTACAAGGCATGGTTTGGGGTTCTCTTTCCCGTACTCGA